CGTAGTGTTTCTGCTTTGACGTGGCTTGACGACACTGAAAGAGTCGTGCATCTTGGGTATAACTCGCCTGCCCTCATAGGTCAGTTGCTGCAGCTCGGCACTCAAAGACACCATGAGAGAGTTTTGGCGAGGCTCCTGCCGTCCTTCAACGGGACGCGCGTGTGCACCGAACCTCTGGCCCGTTTGTTGCGCCCCGAGTCCAAAAAGTTGGCCCCGAGGGAAAGATGCATTGTCACCACTGCGTTTTGCGAGGGACTCTGGACCAGGGCCAGAGCCAGAGCTGCAGGATACGTCAGTGACGGCAGGTGCTCACTCTGTGGCGAGCCTGATGGAATCAGGCACCGCGTCTGGAAATGTCGGCATCACGATGCTGTCCAGGCTCGGCAAGATGCGGCTGTCGATCACCCCGAATGGTTGCTGGAGGCGACCGAGAGCACGGATCACTGCTTCTGGGACGAGCTCAAGATGGACCATCCTGGGTCGAAGCTCCCTCCCCCCAGTAACGACCCCAACCCGAAGTTGTTCAATCCCGAGGGGCAGGAAATTGTTCGGGACTCCATTGACCTCCAGGGCCTGGACATTTGTATGGACGGTTCTTGTGCTCGTCATGTTGTGAGGGAGCTGTCTCGGGCCGCCTACGCTTGGGTCTTTTTGGACCCGACAGGGTCAATTGTTGCATATGCTCCAGGAACGGTGCTGGACGTGCCCCAGCAGACCCCGCAGGCGGCCGAACACCAAGCCATGGCGCTGGTACCTTTGTTTGTTGAACGTAGCGGGGATCGTTATTCGGACAGTGCCACAGTTACTTAGTTGTGTAACACGCCAGTGCAGCATCATATATCGAGTAGACACCGCTACGCGGGAATGCGACGTGGGGCTTCTCTGCATGAGAAACAGGGCCATGAGTGCAGTGTTATTCACACGCCTGCCCACCGCTCTCAAGCGGTCATCGATAGTCTCCCAGGGCCTGAGAGAAGGATCGCTATAGGTAACCAAGTTGCTGATACTTTAGCCAAGCAAGCCCTCCTCCTCCACCCTCAGGCCTCTCCTGCGGAGTACCAAGAAGTTAGCGATGATATAGATAAATTAGTGTTTGCGGCCAAGGTCATGGCCAAAGTTTTGTGCGTTTTCCCCGTCGAGAAATTCGAGCGGCCACAGTCTGGACCGAGATGTAAGTTTTTACGGACTGGAGGCTGGCACCACTGGGAAAACCTCGACGGGGGCCGTGCCAGGTGTTTGCGATGCCTTCTGTTTAGTGGCGACCCTGACAGTCGGCCTGAATTGGGCTGCCGAGGGCCGAATAGCACTTGGAAAGGGGTTCTCGACTTCACCAAAAGTCACACTCTTGCGCACACGTTCGTCACGCGCAAGCATAAAGTTTCTAGCATGATGTTTTGCACCACGTGCGGGGCGTATACGTCCCGACGATGCTTCAAGCTCGGTCAAGAATGTATCGGCAAGAGGCTTCCAGGGGCTAAGACGACCCTCCCTAGGATCATGGCTGGCTTTCACCCTCACCATAGAAACGAGGATGATCGTGTTTCGGCCACTTCTCGAAGGGGAGTAAACTATCTTTGCTACGCAGCCACCACTCCGCCTCCCCCCAGAGGTCTCAAGGCCTGCTTTCGGGATGGAGGGATTGGTTCAGACGCCTGGGATGCTGGCAGTTCTGGCGCGCATCCAGGCTCGTGAAATGGCGCGCGGGAGTAACCCACAGCCGACTGACAGAGTTTGACAGTCCAGCTTGATTTTGCGGCGCAAGGACGCATGTCATTTGTTGCTTGATTGCACGGCCCGATGCGACTGACCTTTTCGGCAGGCACCCGTGCTAAACCCCACATCTGGGGCGAGTCTGGCAGCCGTCCTGGCGCTTCCTGCACCAGGGGTTTCTGGCCTCGTCGTCCTTGTGTGGGTGGTCGAGTCTTCCCAGTGGCGAGGGTTCGCCTTTTCGTTTATGCTCAGCACGGCCCGATGCGGCTGGCCCTTTTGGCCGGCATCCGTGCTATACCCCACATCTGGGACGAGCCTGATGGTCGTCCTGGCGCTTGCTGCACCAGGGACCTTGGGTTCGTCGTCCTTGTGTGGGTGGTCGAATCTTCTCCAGTTTGTTGGTGTACGTTCTCGCGGTGCGTGCGCCCGTCGTGCACGCGCGTCAGGCACCCCACTTCTGGGGGAAGGAGCCTGCACACCTAGGGTGCGCGTCTGCTCGTTCCGAGCACGGGGGCGACTTCGTCCCGACAGTGGCTCTTCTGGTGTTGCTGCGGCCCTTGAGCTTTGGTTCAGGGCCCCAACATCTCCTGTCGCTCGTGTGTGGCGCGCGTCTTCGTGCACGCGTGTCAGGCACCCCAATTCTGGGGGAAGGGGCATGCACACCGAGGGTGCGCGTCTTCCGTTTCCGAGCACGGGGATGACTTCATCCTGACAGTGGCTTGTATGGTGTTGCTGTGGCCCTTGAGCTTAGGTTCAGGGCCCCAACATCTCGTGGCGCGTGTGTGGGGCACGCCTCATTTTGTAGGCTGCCTCCGTTCGGCTCTTGCAGAAGGAGCGACCTCGCGCCAGGTCCACATGACCTTGCCCCATCCGCGGGCAAGGCCCCGCTCGCTATGCCGACGGGCGTGGACTTTGGTTTTCGTGTGGGCTGTGCGTGACCTAACAAGTTGGTCACCGTGCATGGCCTAGTCGGCGAACTGTCGCCGCCCTCGGTCCTGCCCACTGGCTCGCAGAGGAAAAAATCATCCTCCTACTCCTCCTACTCCTCTTCCTCCTCCATCTCCTCCTCTTCCTCCTCCTCTTCCTCCTCCTCCACCTCCTCCTCCTCCTCCACCTCCCCCTCCTTATATGAGGCGTTCCAAAAACGGCCTTGCCTTCTAGGATCGAAGGAGCTGTCATCTCCTTCCTCGGCGGAAGGCGGCGGAAGGCCGGCGGAAGTGAAACGAGGCCGCCTCCGCTGGCGGGAGTTTGCGGAAGGGCGGCGGAAGGTGGCGGAGGTAGAACATGCGCCCCCAAGAGATGACAACCTTTGTGGGTTCCGGGTTTTCGGAATCCGCCATATATCAAAAAACGAATCCCCTGCGCCTCCCCCCGCTCACGGAGTTCTCCCCCTGCTGCGGGAGGCTGCTCTGAGGGGGCTTGAAGGGGATTCAGGTGCCAGACTCAACATGAGAGCTCGGGCCTGTGTGCAGCCTGTGCTCAGTTACCTGCGTAGTTCCAAGTACACCCCTTTTCATAAGGGCTGTCTGAGGGCGCTTTTCTGCAATGCAATTTACACGCGGGATCGGGCCGAAAAGCTTGGTTATGTTTTGCTTTCGACTCTCTGCCCCAGATGCGGAGAATCCACGGACACTCTTAGGCATAGATTTGGGGAGTGTCTGGACCCTGAAGTTATGGAGCTCAGGAACTCTTTGGTGCCCCAGAAGATCCAGAAGTGGGCCGCAGAGGTCGACGACAACCTGGCCTGCTTCGGCGTTTTCGACCACCCCGCCGACTCTTTCCCGTCGCCGCTCTCCCAGGGGGGCATCGAGCTGGAGTGGGAGGAGGAGGGGGGGGCATCGAGGTTATGTTCGACGGAGATTTGTTTGTCGACGGTTCCTGCACTCACTATCTGGTCACGGAATTGAGCAGGGCTGGTTGGTCCTTCATTCTTGTTTTTCGGGCGACGGGACAAGTCATGGTGCGGGTGCGAGGGCCTGTGTGGGCTCCCTCTCCTCAGAGGCCTCAGGCGGCTGAGTCCCACGCCTTGTCTGTCGCGCGTCAGTGGGCTACGGGGCCCAGCACCATTGTTTCGGACTGCCAGGGATGCGTGGAGTTTGCCGCGCTACCTTGGTCAGAGCAGATCTCGGCGAAAAGGATGCTTAGTGGCACGGCCCAGTTTGTCCATCGAAGCAGAGAGCGAGTGAGGCTCGAGAAACTTCGGGTTCATTTAACAGTCGCCGATGCTGTTGATGAAGAGGACCGCTATGGGCGGCAAGGCAACGATTGGGCCGACCAGGCCGCCAAGGAAGCGGTATCCTTGCATCCTGAGCCGTCCGTCGAGCTGCGTGAGGGTCTTGACAACTCCTGTGCCATTGCCCGTGCTGTCGGACGCCTGGGGTGTAGGTTGCTGGTGTTGTGGCCACGGCTGGCCTTAGGCCCCGAGGCCCAACGCGTCCCCGCTCCACCCGTGGTCAAGCCACCCGTGGACAAAATTGTACGCCAATGGGGATGGGTGGGCAATTATTGGCAACGTGCTCCTGGTTTGAGAGGGATACGAGGTGTGCCTTCTGTCGAGCCGCCTCCTGGGACGTGCTCGGCTGTATTGCGTGTGCAACCTGCCAAACTCAGAGCGCTGGGCCATCGGTGCGTGCTGCTCGACTGCTCGGACGGCTCCTTTTTGTGTATTTGCCACAAGTGCTCGCATATGACGTCGGGGGGGGGGTAAGTTTGCAACCTCGACAAACAGTGTGAGCCACACAAAGTTGCCTCACACAGCAATCCGTGGACTAAATTGAAAAGAGGGCTCCATCCGAAAAAGGCTGGGGTCACTGTCGATTTAAACACGTTTTGCCATATGCAGTGTCCTGTATCTGCTTGCCCAGTACAGTGCTGGACGCTCTCTCCGATCGGGAGGCTGTTCTCCCAGCCGCCTGGTCTCCCCCAGTCGGCTTCACCCAGCTTCTGGGGAGTCTGTTGGGTTGCGGCATCGTGGATGCAAAAAATCCTCCTCCTCCTCCTCCTCCTCCTCCTCCTTCCTCCTCCTCCTCCTCCTCCTCCTCCTCCTCCTCCTCCTCCTCCTCCTCCTCCTCCTCCTCCTCCTCCTACCTCCTCCTCCTCCTCCTCCTCCTCCTTCTCCTCCTCCTCCTCGAGGCCTTCCCTGCCCGCCCCCCTCGGCCTTCACGCGCTTCCTGCCGGGCCCTCCCGGCCACGCGCCCGCCTCTCTCGGCATCGCTCGAGGGGCATCCTGGATCACCTCTCAAAAGACAAGCGCACGACATCGAAAAATGCTCGGGAAGTGGACGTCCGAGCTGGGCCGCAGCCTGTCTGGCCCCCCCCCCTCCCCCTCCCCTCGTCCCTGCTCGCCCCCTTCGGCCTTCGCACGCTTCGCTTCCTGCCGGGTCCTCCCGGCCACGCGTGCGTCTCTCCTCTTCTGCTGGGCCGCAGCCTGCCTGGGGGGGTGGGGGGGGGCTGCCGATTCCGGAGGAGGGCCCTCCGAGGCAACGGCAGCTCTCCCTGGCGTGCTTCGTCCGTCGCCGTGGCAAGGAGGGGGGGGGGGGGGGGAGGGGTGCGGCGGAGAGGAGGAGGAGGAGGAGGAGGAGAGGAGGAGGAGGATGAGGAGGAGAGGAGGAGGAGGAGGAGTGGAGGAGGAGAGGAGGGGAGGAGGAGGAGGAGGGAGGAGGAGAGGGAGGGGAGGAGGGGGGGGGGCAGGGGGAGAGGAGGAGGAAGGAGGAGCTGATTTTCAACGGGTTTGGGCCGCGCGGGAGAGCCGCCGTTTTCTCAATCTGGCCCGCCTCCGGCGATTTTGATCCCTTCGCGCTCTCGATCGGCTTATGGCGTAGGGTGCTCAAGATGTGCAGGCGCCGTTCGGCAGATCTTGGTGTCTCGGCTTCGCGCCAGATCGAAAAGGCACCCGGCCTGCATGCGCCTGACCCCTCTGCGCGCACGCGGCGAGACTCAGAGGGTGATGGGACGGAGGAGGAGGGGGAATAGGAGGAGGAGGAGGAGGAGGAGGAGGAGGAGGAACAGCAGGAAGAGAAAAAGGAAGAAGAGGGGAAAAGGGAGGAGGTGCGAAAGCAGGAGGAAGAGAGGAAGCAGGATGAAAGTGAGGAGGAGGAGTAGGAGGAGGAGGAACAGCAGGAAGAGAAAGAGGAAGACGATGGGAAAAGTGAGGAGGGGAGAAAGCAGGAGGAAGAGAGGAAGCAGGATGCGAGTGAGGAGGAGGAGGATGAGGAGGAGGAAAAGCAGGAAGAGAAAGAGGAAGACGAGGGGAACAGGGAGTAGGGGACAAAGCAGGAGGAAGAGAGGAAGCAGGATGAGAGTGAGGAGGAGGAGGAGGAGGAGGAACAGCAGGAAGAGAAAGAGGAACAATTGTGGAAAAGGGGGAGGGGAGAAAGCAGGAGGAAGAGAGGAGCAGGATGAGGATGAGGAGGAGGAGGGAGGAGGAGAGGAGGAGGAGGAGGAGGAGGAGGAGAGGGAGGAGGAGTGGTAGCAACAGCAGAGGGCTCTGTAACTATCTATGCACACAACATATTAATCATAAAACATGTGTATCTATACGGATACGTATATGTATCGCCCCTGGCCCTCACTCCTCTCCCTGCTGCAACCCCCATCGCTGTCCTGTCCCCCGCATGGGTGTCGTCAATCCTTATTGTAGTTCGTCCATGTTCTTCCTCCGTCTTCCTCCTCTGGCTCCTCTGGCTCCTCCTCCTCCTCCTCTCCCCCCTCCTCCTTCTCCTCCTCCTCCTCCTCCTCTGCCCTCCTCCCCATCTCTCCTCATATTTCCCCTCCTGCTCCTCATACCGTTCCTCCTCCTGCTCATATTTCCCTTCCTGTTCCTCCTCCTCCTCTTCCTCCTCCTCATTATCATTATCATCATCATCACCATAATCATCATCATCATCATCATCATCATCATCATCATCATCATCATCATCAATCATCATCATCATATCATCATCATCATCATCACATCATCATCATCATCATCATCATCATCATCATCATCATCATCATCATCATCATCATCATCATCATCATCATCATCATCATCATCCCTCTCCCTTCTCTTCCACCTGCTCCTCCTCCTCCTCCGCCTCCTCCTCCTTCTCCTCCTCCTTCTCCTTCTCCCAAACCTGTCTTCCAGTCAGTGGACCACCGCCCCGCCGAGTTTCCGTGGGTGCTCGGTTTTCGATGCTGGGCCACCTGGCTTTAGGCCCGTCCCAATCGAACAACCTCCCTTTCCTCCTCGCCGCGCCCTGGAGTGATTCGGTACGGTCGCTCCTCCTCCTCCTCCTCCTCCTCCTCCTCCTCCTCCTCTTCCTCCTCCTCCTCCGCCGCCTCACTCCTCGTCTCCCTCCCCCTCCTCCTCCTCCTTCCCTTCTCCTTCCCTGGGTAGAGTGGAGTCGTGTCTCTGAGAAGAAGGCGCCCGCGTGCCAGCCCGTGCGCGGGGCCGCGACGAGGCAGCGACCGGCGCCCATCGCACGAAAACCTGGGGAGCCTAGCCGGCGCACGGCAGCGGCCAGGTGGCGAGAGTGCAGGGGTCTGTCTCACCGCCGGGGGAGACGAGCAAGAGCCCGTTGGTGCAAGCACCGCTTGGGTGGGGCATCCAGGGCTCTTCGGTACTCCAGGCCGGCGCCGCGGGACCGTCTTGGAGCTCGCTGGAAGTTCGGGCTCCGGACCACGCTCGCGAAGCCTCGGACAAATCGCGCGGCACGGCCCAGAAGCGCCCAAGAAATACTCCCGAAGTCCAGAAAACCAGAAAGCCTCGGGCCTTAAGAGAGTATTGGCAGTATCCAACACAGAGAACTCGAGGGGACCGAGAGACACTCCATTCAGTCCACATGGTACAACATTACATAGCTTGCACAGAATAACGTGCACTGCATACAGTGTGTTCAAGACAAGGCACCGCATACACATACAGCGATGTGTACATCCGATGTGTACATATGTATGTATGTGTGAATGTATACGTATATGTTGATGTCTATGTTTATCGATGCATATGTCTATGCATAGGTTGACGTGTACCTTGATGTCTATGGATCGGAATACGTGTTTGTCTATGGATTTGCACGTGTATATGTATATGAGGAGGAGGAGGAGGAGAAGGAGGAGGAGGAGGAGGAGGAGGAGGAGGGGGAGGGTGAGGAGGAGGAGGAGGAGGAGGAGGAGGAGGAGGAGGAGGAGAGGAGGAGGAGGAGGAGGAGGAGGAGGAGAGGAGAAGGAGGAGGAGGAGAGAGGAGGAGGAGGAGGAGGAGGAGGAGAGGGAAGGGGGGAGGAGGAGGAGGAGGAGGAGGAGGAGAGAGGAGGAGAGGGGAGGAGGTGGAGGAGGAGGAGGAGGAGCAAAATGAGGAAGAGGAGCAGGAGAGAGGAGAGAGGAGAGGGGACACAGGCAAACGAGGCGCGCTCGCGCCACATGTGCCATCCTACGTACCCCTCCCGCCTATCTCTTCCCATTGTGCGGAATGTGCTCCGCCCGCCGGCGCGGTATCATAGCGAAGCTGGGGGCCCCAAGGGAACTAAGGGGAGTTGCGCACATTGGAAAAGGGAATAGCGGATGGATAAGCAGGAGGAAAAAGAGGAGGAGGAGATCGACGAAAGGAGGCAGCAGGAGCAGGAGCGGGAGAAGCGGGAGCATCATAATGACCAGGAGAAGGCGGGGGAGGAGAAAGGAGCGGGGCGACAACGACGAGGAAGCATTCGGATCCAGAAAAGTGGCCCGCGCTGAGGTGAAGGCGCCATTCCGAACGACGAGAGCAGCGCGTCGATCCTATGATGAAGCCGACGTGTGGAATCCTGAGTGTCAAGACATTACACGGAGGGGGCGGACCATTCCCCCTCCTCTTCCTCCTCCTCCTCCTCCTCCTCCCCTCCTCCTCCTCCTCCTCCTCCTCCTCCCCCTCCCCCTCCCCCTCCTCCCTCCTCCTCCTCCTCCTCCTCCTCCTCCTCCTCCTCCTCTCTCTCCCTCCTCTCTCCTCCTCCTCCTCCTCCTCCTCCTCCTCCTCCTCCTCCTCCTCCTCCTCCTCCTCCTCCCTCCTCCTCCTCCTCCTCCTCCTCCTCCTTTCAAGCCACCTAGGCCCAAGCATTTTGTTTGGGCCGACTCTTGTGCTTGCTCGGAGCGCTTGAGGCACACAGAGCAGAGCCCGTTGCGGAGGCCAGTCATCTGTGACAAAAGCAAGAGTGTCAGTCCACGCCCTTTCCCTGCCATGGCTTTCTTTGAGCGTAATGCGCGGCTGTGGAGCCGCTGCCAGTGCGGGAAGTGTGAATGGAATGATGTGATCACCCGTGGGCAGGACATATGCACCAAGTGTAAGCGCGAGGTGCCCCTGTTCACCCCCAAAAAGAAGAAGGGGGGCCTCCGTTCCAGATCGCAATCGCCAGGGAAGGTTTCGTTTGCCGACGAGGCGGAGGTGTGGGACTTCGAGGAGCAGGAGCCCGACCAATGCAGCTCTCAGAAGGGCCCGTGGTCCAAGGCCAGCTCCACGATCGACCGCCTGATGGAGGCCATGAAGAGCACCAATGACCAGGAGCTCAAGATGGTGTTGAAGAATCGGATTGAGTTGCTGAAGAAGGCCCCTGCGGTATCAGAGCCGCCCCCCTCTGCCGCCGACAGCTACAAGAGGGCGGAGGGCCACTGGAGGGATTACAACCACAAGCATGACCAGTGCGTGGCCAACGTGCGCCGTCTTCGCACGTCCTTGGCCACGGCAGAGAGTAAGGAGGAGGCGGCTGCGGAGGCTTTGGCAGCAGCCGCAGTCGCCAAGACGCGGGCAGCTGGGGTGCTCGCACGTGCTGAGGGCCTTAGTGGAGAGCAGCGGCCGCAAACTGTTCCAGAGGCCAAGGCACCAGAGGCTTTCACCGTCTCGTGGGACTCCAGCCTGTTCGACGACTTGGACAATTTGGAGTGTGAGGAGACGGAGAGGCAGGATCTCAAGCAGATGCACGCCACCTTGTTGCACATGCAGGAGGGCTTCCAGGCGAAGAACGCTGAGGTGCAGTCTTGGCTTGCGAAGGCTGAGAAGTCAAAGGCTGAGATCGCCAAGAGGTTGGCGGCCAAGAGGAGGAGGGTCGACAACTCTGAGGAGGGCGACGACGAGGGCGACGGCGTGTCTGAGGCTGCCGAGGCAAGCGGCGCTGGCGCGACGGCAGGCGGCGACGGTGGCGCGGGCAGCCGTGCAGGTGGCCCAGCGCCGCCAGCGGCGGCGGAGGCCCCGTCTGCAGTCGACCCCGCGGCGGCGACCGCCGAGAAGGAGGCCGTGCGCGCTGAGGCGGCCAAGATCTCGGCGGCCAAGTTCGCGGCTGCTGAGGCTGCGGCCCAGGCCAAGGCCAAGGGCAAGGGCCAGGATGGCGCTGCCGCGGCCTGACGGCCAGCGCCTGCGGCCCCGCCCCGCGATCAGCTTCGCCCAGAGGCGGAGGTGCAGGCGCCAGTTTTGTCACTAGATTCGAGCTCGTGCGAGAACGAGCCCGTCTCCAACATCTTCTTTGCGAACGTCACGGCCATGGGTGACCGTGCGTGGACTCATTATCTAGATCTGTCAGCCAAGTTCGGTATCTTGGGATGTGCGGAGACTCGCGTGGGGGCGAGTCAGATGCGCGCATGGGAGAGCAAAGCTCGGCAGAAACAAACTCAGGTTGATTGCTAACGCTGCCCGACCATCAGGACGGGGCGGCCAGGCGCAGGAGGATCGTGCCAATGAAGGAGGAGAGTGGGTACTCGCACGGGGCCACCTTCATGTCGAGCCGATCGCGGAGGCCAGGATGACGGGTGCGTTCAAGGCAGACGGCAGCGACGCGCTGGATGGGTTCACCGCGTCGGTGCTGCACTTTCGGGGCTTCTCGATGGTGCTGCTGATTGTCTACTGTCTCTCATCTGTTGGCCTCGCTGGCAAAACAATTTCAA